CCATCTCAGACAAAAAAAAAAAAAAAAAAAAAAAAAAAAAAAAAAAAAAAAAAAAAAAAAAAAAAAAAAAAAAAAAAAAACAAACAAACCTATTTTCAAATAGAAGGTCATTTGTGATTTGAACACAGTATAAACTACATAAAAGAGGAAAAGTGATTTATTAAAGACATGCTCGCTAAAACACTAAATTTCAGAGAAATATATATGTAAAAAGAAATTTGTGTTTGTCCTCATCCTATTTTCCTGGTCTTTAAAGGGATCAGAAAATTAACTGTAGAGTAAGGAGTCTAGTGAAAACCTCGTTACATACAAACCATCATTCTTTTCTGGAAAGTCCAGAAAATACAGAAGAGATTCACAGACTCTGCAGGACACACAGTATTCTAACCCTGTAAGTAGCTTTCAGGCTGATAGAGCTTCAGTGTTTTTTCCCCTATAGAAAAAACAGTCTGAGGGGAAAAAAAAACAAAAATCTCTGTTTCTCTATTCTCTCTCCCCACTCCTTCTTAAGAATAATCAGAAAAAAAGACAGGCAATATGGAGTGAAGAAAAGACTACCTGAATGGAAGTCAGGAGAACTGAGTTTTGTTCCCTGCTCTGTGACTTACTATATAGTCTTGGGCAAGTTACTTAGCCTTTCTTAGCCTCTGCCTTTTGTTTCATTTTGTTTCATATGGAACACAAGCAGCATTGAAAAAAAATTTTTTTAATTACACCTAAGAAAGACAGCCAAGATCATAGAGACTTAACCCCAACTTCATACATGAGGACACTAAAACAGAGAAACATGCCCAGTCACAGGTGATTAGACCAAAAGATTTCTAACAACAGTCACAGCTCCAACATTTTTAAAACTATTTATTTAAAAAGACAAGTTATTTATGTCAAATTTCTAGAGCATGTTAAAAAAAAAGTAACTAAGTGGCAAAAAGGATGATAACTGCCAAATTTAAGATAATTATCTCTTCAAGAAGCCATAAAGAAATATATTCTGGAAGACTTCAATTGTACTAATAATATTGTATTCCTCAAACTGGGTTTGCTGTACATGGATGTTTATTTTTCTTCATATATCATTTTGTATTAAATACTTTCTAATCTTTTTTTATGTAACCACCAAAGCATCTTTAATCAAAAGCTAAAATAAATGAAAACACTTCTCTGGAACTTTAAAGGTCAATGAAAATAGTTGTGTGTGGTTTCAAATATTCTCCTGCTGAGCTTAAAGGGTAAATATCACTGCGTCCCCCTAATATAAGAAAAAAATGTATAATGTGCTGAAAATACATATACATATACTATTTCTAATCTAACTTAGTAAAATATAAAAGTACTACACAAAGCACAAAACACAAAATAAATTTTATTACTAACAGCATGATAAACTCACTTAAGAATTGAGAAAGATACTTAACAATTTGTACTTTAAACATATTCAAGAGTCACATCTAATAGTCTAGTGTTTCATCATCAGAATGGTTGGTTGTTTTTATTGAAACAAATAAGAACTGCAATAATTTACCTAAAGTAAGCAAAGGCCTATTTAAACGTCCACACAGAACCTATGTGTAAAAACTAAGTGCCTCCAAAATATCTGAAATTTTCCAACAAGAAAGTACAGGTCATTCAGCAAAATATATTTACTTTATACTACCATAATAGCTATTTAATTGTTATCATTATGATACAGATATATAATGGAAACAGATGTTCCTTTTTCCTTTCAGCAAAGCAAAGGAAAAGCATAAACTTGCTGATATCGCATAGACTACTACCATAGCACAATGGAGGAAAAAAAGACATTAGCACATGACAATATTAGTTTTTACTACACAACTAATTGCATAAAAAGTATAACTTGAGATCATTAAATCAATATAATTTTTCAGCACTGCAGAAGAGAAACAAATAGATTTGTATAACCAGCCTATTTCACATCTGCAGTGGGGAAAATACTTCTGACAGATTAAGTATATGCAAAATGTTATCACTGCTTTTAGAACACAAGGAAAAAAGTGTTGTTCTGTTTTCTTTGCTCATGTAACATGAATTGGAATGCTGCCTTTACAGAGAAATTTTTTTAAGTACCAGTATAAATTGTTAGAACCTTTCTGGAAAACAAGTGGGCAATCAATATCAAAAACCTTAAAAAACAGTCTATATTCTCAGTCTAAGTAATTTCTCTTTTCGTAATATAAGGAAATAACCATAGGGATGGGTGAAGGTTTATTTAAAATGCTACTTATTACAACTTACTTTATACTAATGGAAAATTAAAAATCTGAGTTGTCTAACAGACCAATGATTAAAGTAGATATGTTAAAAATTGTAGAGTCAATGTAAGTGAGTTTAAAAATAATTTTAATCATATTACATTAAATGCTTAGAGGAATGAGGTTTAGAGAAAACACACAAAATGGCATTTCTAATTTTTGTAAATTCTGTCTTATGGGCAGATACTACTTCTTTTATCATAAAAGTTATTTTTTCTTTAAACAGTTCTATTTTTATGATCTGATATTCTCAGTCAAAGTTTCTAAAAATTATTTGGGCAAAAGAGTCATATAAATACTTACAGGTAAATTGACGTAATGTTGACATGTTATTTGATCCTGAAATCTGGCACAGAAAAAGGTACTTGTCAATCACATAGACCTTTTTTCTTTTTCCTGAGTTACAAATTAGAGAAAATTTTTATGAAACAAATACTACAAGTGTGTCCTTAAGATCTACTAATATGATGTGTAGTACATTGCCAATTCAGGGAAATTTTCAATTTAAAATATTTCTAAAGTAAATGAAGTAGCCTATTAATTGCTCTTTCAGTGTACCAGTAAAAAAGTTTGCCATAGCTTTTCTAGGACTCTTAGTTTCCTGATTCTATTTTTACAAGAAGAAGCTGATTTGTCTTAGGCTATTACTGTCTATTACTTCTGGAAGTCTTGAGGAAAGGTGGGAAGCAGCAAATTCTGGCAATCTGCCTAAAGAGAAATCAATGAAACAAATTAATCCTTCGCAGGCTGCAATGACACAGTAATCCATCATTCAGAGCTGCTTTTATATACCAAATCAGAGAGCAGAGGAAAAGAGCCCTGGGGGATATCACAGACAACAACTTACACCAACACTGGGAAAATACTGAGGAATCAGTTTATTTAAAGAGGATAGATTTTAGTTGATTGCCTATTTCGTCAAATAAAGATTTTTCTTCCACAGTGTGGTGAACCCAAGGGCCAATGACTGTATCTTCAGAATTCAGTACCATCTAAGCTGGCTGACATCAATAGGAGATGAATGTTTTTAAATAATTAGCATCATTAATCAGTATGGTCAAATATCTGGGTAAAGTAAACATTACTTTGTCCATCCAACTACAAAGTGTTATACACGGTCCTTGTTTTCACCAGAAACTAAGTGTAAATTTACCTACTAATCTACATCTTAACTAATTCCTGGTAAACCATATTTGAGGTATTTCTTCACATATAAAATGTAACCATCTAAGATATATGTTACTTTGCAGTGCTGTGTTAAGCTTAAAGACTTAAAATTTTTAATTCAAGCTCTTGTGTAAATTCCAGCAAGCAAGTCGAATTACAAATAAATGACTTATTTTTAAATGATAAATATTTTGCTCATAATGTAGTTGACAGTGTTAGAAGATAAATGTGGTTTTCTTTTAAAAATAAACTTAAAATAAATGTACAGCAGTATATTCACACTGAGTGTATTTATTCATACTTATACAAATGCCTATGTATCTAAATTTATTTGTGCTTCTGTAGAAAGTTATGGACCTAAGTATGTCTTACTAATGTATTCTAAGTAAAAGTATATTTCCTTGATGAAAACTAATGGCAAGAACTATGAAGTCACACTGCATTACTATTGTAAATGTATGCATTAAATTCATGGTTAAATGTGAGACGTTAGTAAAAGAAAAGAATTTTCAAGATTATAAACAGCAACAACAAAAAAAACTTGACGCAACAGTCCCTGAAATGTTAAAACTCCAGAATACCTAATCGCACATCCAAAACAGAAAAAGAAGACTAAATAAATGCTAACTAGTCAATTTTTGAATGGCATGTTCGATTCTGAGATCCTTGGCCTATGATCATAATTCCTGGCCATCCTGATGCATTTTTAATTCAATGCATGGATCTAGTATTTATTGATTTAATAAGGTTAGGAGAATTACATTGTTGCTGCTACTGATGAACTGTCAGCAATTTAATCTAGTGAAATCTTCCAGAGAAATGTATATTTTAGGAGAGAACAAGAGAGGAACAACAGCCATGTAAATAAATTTAATGCCTTTACTACCCCTGACACTAACAAGAGCAAAACCCTTCTTTTCTATACTGCTTTGGGCTTCAAAAATTTTCTTTGACTAAAGATGTACCAGCTGATTGAGCTTATGGTGAGAAGATTGCAGGGTAGCCTTGTAGGTACACCTTAAAAATCACGAAAAGCAATGACTTTCTCCTAGTATTCACTCTGGCCTCTCCTCATAGGTTTCTGAGATACACACACACCCACACCTGAGCCCTTCCCTTGTCACCTAACAAGGTTTCAACGGCCCTGTCAACGATTTCCTCTCTCTGGACCCTAAAATTTCCCACAAGCTCAATAGCATACAGGAGGACAGAAGAGAAGGGAGAAAATAGAAAATTAACTTTCTTAAAAGCAATTCTGTCAAAATACAACCAAAGGAGAGAAGCTCTAAGGGCTATGTCAAAGTAAGGAGGTATTACATGATCCAGAATCAGAAAGGGGGTTAAAAAAAATTCACCAAAGTTGCTGAAACAAACACTTGGGGACTATTAGAAAGTTCTTTGCACTGCTGCACCACCCTGCTCCTGGGCTTATCTCCCCAACCTGGACACCTGGGAAGCATGCTGTGTTTCAGCTTTTCCCTAACTTTGAAGAAATGGAACGCTGGTGGTGCTGCTGCGGAGGTCAGTAAAACTATGCTAATTGGTGAACCTAATTGCTTCAAGCAGTCCTGCCTCTAAACAGGGAGAGAGCACAGTTGATGGAGTCAGTCTGTTCCTAATAAAATGAAGAAGCACTGAATTAAATTCCCGAGGAAGATTCTATAAAAGTTTCCACAGTGTAACCAAACGACTTCACCTATGCTATTACTTCTAAGATGACATCTTTGAAAGAAAGCAGACCCTAGTCGGGCTCCATATTCATAAATTGGCTGAGCTTAGGCCAGTGAATCTGGATTTATTTAAAAAGGTTTTTTCATCCTTCCAATCAAATGAAGTCATTTTTAATTAGATGCTTTCTGCTAACAGTGTCACTCTTCTCCACATTACCTGCTCACACTTGCAGCGCCTCTAGTGCAACATCTGGAGCACGAGTCCCCTGCAAGCAGTCCTCCCAGCAGATTGGCTGAAGGGTGGTGGTATTTCCGTTTCTCAATCTAAATTGAGAAATTACAAAACAATCTCTGGAAAAACTCTTGAGATACAGTCTCCCAATATCTTTTTTATGAACTACATAGCACTTTATCCACTGTTCCCGCCTTGCAGATGGTTGTTTTAAAAAGTGCCAAGGGCCACAAAAGCAAACTCCCACAGATTCTCCAGCTTCTTGAAACCCAGTCCCTCCTTAAAATAAAAAATCAGGTGTGAGGGTCTCCAACCGTGCCCCAGGCCTTGCTTCCTACCCCTACCAGCAGCCCGCCACCTGAAGAGGAGTGGCTGCCCAAGGCAGGTCAAATCGTTAGGCACCCCGGGAGGATGACAAGGCTCAGCACCTTAGCCAGCGCGGGAAGCGGGGAAAAGGAGGCGAAATGGGGACGTTGCAAAAGCGGCTTCGTTCGACGGTGGATCTCTGAACCTTAAAAGATCGGCGGGTACCCGCTCACACTCCCTGGGGCCCATTCCTAAGAGGTTTGCCGCGCCTACCCGAGGGGGCGCCAATTGCCCGCGCGGAGCTGGGGCGTGGGCCCGGGGTTCGGGAAGCGTGCGCCACCCCACGGTCGGGCCTCGCCTCCCTCTTGAAAGCCCCCGGCGCAGGCCCGGGGCTTTGTCCCTCCCGCCTGCTCGTGGAGCGGTAGCTTTCTGCGCTGGCGAGAGCACTGCCTCTAGCCTTGCAACGACGTCCCAGTGCGCAGATCCCGCGGCGGGGCCCCTCCGCCGCGCAGGGCACCGCACTTGCGTCGAGCGCCCAGCAGCCAACCCAGCGCGCGAGGCTCCGCGGCCGGATGTGGGCCTCGCTTCCGGGAGCCGCTCCCGGCAGAGCTGCGCTCAGGGTCGGAGTTCGCGAGCCAAGTGGAGAGGGGTGGGAGGGGCCCCTACAAGGGATCCTCGTCTGCAGAGAAGAATTCGTTCGCAAGGGAGCGCCCTTGAGGAGTGAGGGTCGTGCAGAGACACTCGAGAGTTAGGGTCGTGGACTGCGGTGGGGCCGGGTCTGGTCTTGGGGCAGGTGTTCCCCGGCCGCCCCAGGGGCCTGCAGCACTAAGGGTCGCGCTGATCCCAGGGCTCAGGCGGACGAGGGGCCGCCACAGGCACCTTTGGACCCTGGCGGCCCGAAGATATGAGGCCTTCACGAGAGCCTCGGGCACTCCCATCAGTAGGGGACCTAGCGCCAGGTCACGATTCCATTCCGGGCGGGGAACTTCTCAACAGGAGTTGCAGGCCAAGGAATGAGTCTGGACCCGGGGCCTGGTCCCCCGAGGGGCAGACCACGACCTTAGGGCCAAGCTCGCAGTCCTTCCCGACTAGGGATGCGGAGGGGTCGGGAGCTCGACGGCTAAACGACAGGGAATCTTGAGTTCCTAGAGATCTACAGAAGGCAGAAAAACGACACTACATGAGATTAGACAGTAACGGCGGAACGACGGAACCACACGGAGACTCACACACTCTGCGAGTTGGGACTCAACTGCATTTCTTCAAATCTTTGATTCCGAAGTTTCCCCGCCCTCATATGCAAGAGCGTTTGGGGAAACTAAGTTCCTTAGACTCTTTCATCCTTGTTATGTGAGCTCAGGGAGGAAGGCGGACAATAGCTGCAGCCTAAACACCTGCGATCTCTCAATGCAATAAAACATAGACGGTGACTGGAGTCGTTTCTCTTTTTGCTTCCAGAGGGAGCTCAAACCTGAAGTATCAAGGCTATCTTTTTCCAAGGGTAAAATAGGAGACATGCGAAACCTGCTAGAGGCACTACAGCCCACATCTGGAGGAGGTTCCCCTTTGCAAACAGAAAAGACAATCTCATTTTTTCTTTTTTTTTTCTTTTTTTTTTTTTTTTTTTTTAGTGCTTGTGTGAACCTAAGTTCGGTACCTGCGACGAGTAAAACACTCCTTTGACCCTCTAGAGACTCAGCTAGAACTGACTGAACAGAAGGAAATCAGGCAAAGGAAAGGGAAGGTACTGAGGAGAAAACGGTAAGCAGAGGTCTGGGTGGGATGGTGCGCTGGGGCTCCTCTGACCCGGCAGCGGGACCCAACTGCAGCCCAGGTCAATCCCAGTACGCCTGGCACTGGAGTTTTGGACGGGCCTAGTGTAAATGCGGCCACGTGCTCAGGGCTGCTGTGCTCCAGCTGTGCGTTTCGGGGCAGCTTGCGCGCACGCGCGCGTACACATACACACACGGGCGCGTGCCTCTGTCCTGACGCGGGGGCCTGAGGTTGTCCAGGCAGCGGAACCCCAGAATTCCCGCCGCCACTTGACGATGTAGCTCATACTGGATACAGGGTCTCTCTAACCAAGGAGGCGGGCAAACAGAGGCGCCTGGCTTGTGGGTATCCAGCCCCAAGTAGGGGAAGGGCTCATAGAGGGGCAGAGCCCAGGGAGAAGCGACGTCCCCCCGCCACCCCGCTTCGTGCTCCTCCCCGCCTATCGGCCGGGTCACCTGTCAGTCGGTGCTCTCTCGGCTGGCTCCCCATCCCTCCTCGCTCCCCGCAGCCACGCAACAACGCGCTGTCACCCCGAGCTGGGCGCCTGGGCCGCTTTCTGGTGCCTCAGCCCTGCGAGCCAGGGCTTACCCCACACTGACGCTTCCTGGTAAAAACATCACTAGCGCCGTTTTTCCAGCCTCCGGATCCCTGCCTTTTCCCCCCACCGAGCAAAGACAGGCCAGTGTTTGGGGGTGGTGGTTGTTCTTTTAAAAGTATATTAAAGGATCAGTGGCGTCTCCCCATCAAGTCAATACGCCTTTATCCCCATCAATTAACCACACCTCAGAGGCTGCTATTAAGAGCTCAATTGAGCTGCAAAAGTAGGTATCCCGTTTCAGGCAGATGTTTTTATCTCCCGCTGAGAGGCGCGGCCGGCAGGGCAGGATCCTCCACTTCCCGCGACTGCCGGAGTCGCGCTGGACCAGGCTGACCGCACAGGGCGCCGAGGCAGGAAGGGAGGTCGCCGCCCAACAATGCGCGGGTGCTTTAGGAGCCAGGAGGAGTGAGAAGGGCCCTAGACCCGCGGCCTCAAGCGCCACGAACGTCAAAGGGAAGTCTCTCCGAAGGTGCGCCAAGAAGAACACCGAGAGCGAGCTGTGCGTTTTTGCGCAGAGTAGTCTTCGCAAGACCGCGGCTCCGGGCCGAAGACCCAGAAAGGGGGTGAGGGGGAGAGGGCAAACTAGTGAGTTTGACAGGCAGTGCTCCCCCGACACACCCCACTTTCCCTTCCCGCCACTCCAGCCTCCTTCCCGGCAGCAGGTCCCCAAAATCCCTTGTTGGTAAAGGCGATGTGCTGTGGGGATGCTGGATATGGAACTAGGGAATAAGGGACAGAAACGCAGTGTTTAGGACAAAGGGGATTCACTGGGGACTTCCGCGGTCTTTGCCCAGGTGTGTCTTTCCACCCTTTGTCACTCCAGTCACTCCCGAGGACTTGGGGCACGACTGTCACACGCAGCCGGGTGATCCTGGAGGGTGGAGGGAAAAAGAACAAGGGGACATGGCCCTCACTGCAGTGACAGGGCTTTCCTTCAGTCAGTGGCCACAATAAATTTAGCCAAGGCTAAAGGAGATTAATTTCCCAGCATAATCCAATTAAAAGATTTCTAAAGTAATCTTTTGCGAAAATGAAAAGTGCGCTACTAAAGAGGGGACTGGTTTTGATGACAGTGATTTATCGCCTCAGCACAGCACGCACAGGACACTCGCTCTCCAAACGATTTGACCAGAGCATCCCGTCCTCGCCTCCTGTCCAAACCTTCCCCTTCCTGAAAGGCAGCCATCTATCATGCCAACCTGGGCAGAAGAGAATGTGTAAGGGGCTGGGGTGGCTTACAGCACCATAGACTTTTTTAAGTGCTATTAGATTTATGGTCTCTTTTTCGACGCCCATCCAAAGTAATTAGCACATATGTTCTAAATAGATGATAGTTTTGTGAGCAATAAAGCAATTACCCATCGTTGGAGCTGACAGTTCCTCCAACTAAACTCCAACCAGCAGCTAATTGGAAAAGTCATTTCAGCTCCATTGTCTGCAATTAGTCCTGCTAAACTACTACACCCCAACTAGCTGGTTTGAGGTTAATTTATTCAGTGTTGTGTTTGCATGGACAAGCCTTTGCCACGAAGGGACTTGCCTTTTGCCCCTCTGGACTGCGCCCAGGGACTAGAAGAGCTGGTGGGAGTGAGTTGAGGATATTTTGGGGCCAGGATGGCCCCCAGGAGAGGAGGCACTCAAGCGGGCCTCAGCTTCAAGGTTAGTTGTCCAGCGGCTGAAAGCCTACAGAGAAAACCATTGTTTCTCCTGCCAGACAGTAACTGGAGGAAGCTGCTCAGTTCATGCTACCAAAACCTTTATTTAAGAAAATAAAAATTGTCACCACAGACGAAGCTACTGGGTTCTCAACTCTCCCCTTGCATGTACATCCGGTCATGATCCCGGGCCACCACACTGTCCCTAAGGAATAAACACAGAATCAGACTGCCAAAACAGAAAAGTCCTGAGCCCTGGGGGGTGGGGGGCGGCTGGGACCGGCTCCAACTCTGGGAGTGGTTCTCAGAAAGAAAAAACAGGAAAGGTCAGGAAGGCCAGCCTCTGCCTCAGCCACTCTGAGTTTAAAGCCACTTCCCCGTTGAAAGTGGGGTTTCTCTGTGACTTTCTTTGATTTTTTTTTCCTTCTTCCTGTCTTATATATTTTTTTCTTCCTTCCTTTCTAAAGTTAAGCACAACAGGTCCAGGATTTGTGCACAGTGAGTGGAAAAAATGTGTTAAACGTCGGTTTGATGCCCCACCGGAGCTTCCAAATATCCAGCGGCTGGGATTCTTCTACTTAATTTAATCTTTATTGGACAGGGCGGCTCCTATGCTCCTATTCACTAGGAAACCCGGGGAAATGCATCCGTTGGGGTTCAGAATTGAGAGTGGGAAGGAGAGGAGTTAAAGAGGGATTATTCCTCCCCTACCCAACTTCGAACTTTAGAACTGCAATTGCCAGCAGCCTGGTGGGGAGGG